ATTCTGGCTTTGGGTAGGATACTGAGGTTTTGTCTTTCGTGCTGCGATGTGCGCGGAGAGACGGTGATGAAATGCCCCTGCTTGGTGTACCCCTCGGCTTCACGCCAGGCGTTTGACGCCGCTGTCTTCTGTGTGAGTCTTTGCTGCATCTTCGATCCAGGTACTGCCATCAGAATCGTCATCGGATGAAGAAGAGTCCCAGGCCGACTGTCCCAGTGGTGTAGGAGGCATCGCCATGATGATCACATTCGAGACACCCTCGGCGGGCACTGCCATTGTATTCTCCTTGTCAAACCACCAGCTGTCGCTGCGCGTCATGTCATGTTCACGTTCCACATCTCGGTGCTCTCTGTCGCTGCGCTCACGCTCGTCAGTCTTGACCCGTAGCTCGCCATCACTCTCGGGGCCTACCTTGCGATTCTCAACGCAAACGACTCGGCCTCGAGCGGGATGGCCCGCTGTCACGGGAATCTCCTGTCCTAGGGTCGCATTCTGGCGAACGAGCCTCGGAACGCCATGTGTGATTTCGACAACGTTGGCACGCGTGACCAGAGCGGATGCTAGCGGGAGTACCTGGCCGTCACCAGCGTCATCGCCAACGATGGTCCCATTCGAGATAATACAGCGAAGGCTAGGTGAATAGGAATCATGTTCGCCGTTCCACTCATGACTGTCCACATCCCTGGAGGCCATGTCTCCATAGAAGTAGTCATCCTCTTCTGCCGGTTCATCATCGCCAAAGTCGTACACCGGCTCTCGGTAAAGGGTTGCAAACCTGGACAACATACTGGTGGCAGACAATTTGTTCTCAAGAGAGTTGCCGCACAGCTCGGGATACAGGTGCGATATCCCCATTCGCCTCCGTCTCGGCTTCGAGCGCCGCATGTCTTCATCAGCATCTACTGATATGGAGGCCCGACTCCGTAAGCTTGCCTCTTCGGCAACACCCATACCTGCAGCTGGTGGTAAGATCAGGTCGGCTGCGAGGGACACTTCCAGCTCCGTGCCAGCGAGCATGTCCCTCAGCGGCTCGAACCGCAGCCTTGGCAGCGCAGGCGATGGCTTTTCCAGCGGCGTGGCAGGTCGAGAGAGCGCCTCTACTCGTGCTGCGTCCCTGGCTGCGAGGACCCGGGACAGCGTCTCCTGTCCAGGAGACGCCAGCCATCGCAGGACCTCGTCTTCCCCCTGTGTTCGTGGACTGCGCACAAAGTGGCCCACAGGGTCAGTCGGGGTCGTGACGAGTGTCTCTGGGCTGCGACTTTCAAGGCAGGTCGGTGCTTCTCTCAAGCCATGTGTGTAGTATGCATCGAATGGAGAGGCAGCTATAGTGCTGGTTATGCCATCGACAGTGGCATTCGGGGTCGGTCTGGGCTGTGGAGAGAACCTGTTGTTTTGGAGCGGCGCCGCGCGCTTCGAGGAGATCCAGGGTAACGGCATTCTGTCTCGTCTCTGACGGTGTGCAATGAAGTGGCTGGGATTGTTCAGAGTCGTGTAGATGGTTGGACTGCACTTGCCCCGCATCGCAGAGCGATCGTTCTGCACTTATCGACATGGCGAGAGGCGTCTTTCAATTCCCATGTTCACGACGAAGGGCGCCATCGAACCGTTGGTTCGTCTCAGTGTTGGGACTTGGTCAGGTCAGTCTCGTTGTCCACAAAGGGGTTCCTGATATGGAATGATGGGTGAACAAACATGCTCTTACACGTGGATAGACATAGGGGAGATGTTTGACACAGCAGTCGTAGTCACGACAGGACTGCAGCATACAAGTCGTGTCTTGGGAACCGAAACTATCACTTGCGAGACGTTCTGGAGAGTTCTTGTGAGTACCAGAGGCTGTCTAGGCTGTCCTTGGTGCGTTCATCTGATAAAACGTGATGGGCTATCGGTTGGCCATCTCACCAGCCTAACAACACCTGACCGTTTCCAGGGAGAGGGGGCAGTGCGGATGTGTCCGTCTGCAAGACCTCTCATCCTGCGCGTGGCACACTTGACATGTCAGGCGTAGAACAGACAGTTCAAGACCTACCGTTAAGCCAAACAGACACCTGAGATGCATCATTTCAGTGAGTGTCTGGATATCTTGTTCAAAAGCCTAAGATTATGGACTTTCTTTGACCCCTTGCAGGCCAGAGTGGTATGCATGTAGCAGCAGCCTCTTCTCCGGAACGAACAAAGACAACATGGGTCATTGTTGTTGTCTTTCTCTGGCCATGTTCAATCTGTCTGCAGAAGAAGCTGGATCAGAAATCAAGAGAAATTGGTTCTGACACGTTGCTGCCGCCTATGAACCAGTCAGAAAATCACTCAAATATTTACGATCCTGTCATGATACATGGCTGAGGTTGTCTCCTCATTCGCTTCAGTCTGAACAACAGCTGAAAAATGTGCCTGAGACGAACCTACATTTTTCGCAGATGCAAGCATCACGAATGTTGGCTGTATGAATGCGCCGACTTCAAGACGAAGACTAACATGATCCGCTACCTTCTTTTGTCCAAGGTGCGATACTTGATATGCGGCAACCTGCCTCAGATTGACTACGAAGTGTGGGATGCAAAGTGCTCCAAGTGCTGGACTGCACTCGTGGATAATGTCGGAAACCGCCACAGCTCAGAAGAGACAATTGGTGCTGGAGAATCAGACTCGGAAATGCTTCTCAAGGAGCAGGTTGTTGACCACAGAACATGGTAGGTCAAGCCTCATGCTCTCGGGGTGGCTATTTGCTCAACCAGGCACGGACAGCTTGTTTGAGTCCCTGGAGTTGACCAGGACGACGTTGACGATCCGGAATTGCTCGCCAGCGGCGGCCATCTGGTCTAGCCAGACGCTGTCCAGCCGATCATCGCCCGTTGATGGCTCTCAAAGTAGTTATTCGACCGGCCACTTACCGCACAACCAGAAATCGCCGACTGCGAAATCGCTTGAGCTAAACGCACCCGACGAACCAAGTGCTGGTTTTCGCGAGTCTGACGGAGAAAAGTCGTCAACCTGGCCGGAATCGAACATCGCGCGCAAGCATACAGCCAATACTAGACAGGCCGACATATGGCCAGACGGATCAACACACGCAGACTAGGCCGCCGAAGCTCCAGGCCCGGGGCGATACCATAGCACGCGCACAGGAGGCGACCACAAGACCCTGGAAGAATGCACATCAATAGCCAAATGCAGACACTACAGGGAGATATCGGGATGGAGCCGGGGATGACTCTGTCCCGGTTCCTGGATGAGGTAGAGCTCCTGTGGATGAAAGCTGGCCCGGAAACCTGAATGGGTCCAGGAGAGTGGGGGCGGTTGCTCTCTTCAGCGGATGAACCTTTCTCGCCGGTCTTCGTTGGGCCGGACCAGAGGACATTTGTACCGCATAAGCAGGACATGACGGTCAGGAGAACGTCATGGATAGCGCTGTGATCTGTACGATTGAACATGGATTAAAGCACAGCGAACTGTTTACGAGTTGAGGGCCAGCACCGGTTGGGAGGCCCGGTCGTATCGGCATGGTTCGGACTCGGTGACGGATGTGGAGGGGCCAGGTGATCTACTGATGTGACGGGGGTCAATTTGGCGCAGACCGCGTAGGGACATACGTGTCCGCCAAGGTCAGTAAAAATGTCGGTGCCTTGGGGTTACACTACTGCAGCATTTACGCTTGCTATCGCTGCGAGGCGTTTTGTTTGGCGACCGAGCGATTTGGCCTGATCGACGGCGAGCGGAGTTCCTGGCAGGCTGCCCGATTTCCGCCGAGTTGATTCGTCACAAGGTGGTCGTAGGGCTGACAGGGGTTGATGAGCCCAGCTGAAGAGAAAGCAAACAAAGCAAGACGGAGTGCAGGCGCATACGTGTCGTCTGTCGTTTTCGTTCACTGGCCTTTGGGGGCTTTGTAGACCCTCCTCGAACTTGCTCTGTCAACCTGTGAACCATACATCGATCAACATGGGTAAGACTTCTTCAGTATGATCCTCTCACGCAGCGACTTGGCAGGTGACGAGCAGCTGGCCCCAAACCCTGGTCCATAGTTCCTAGGTCTTCCACGTATCTCCATAGTCTTGGCAGCCCTATGCGTGGAGCGCACCAGCGTGCGAGTGGGGGGTAGGACAACCTCACAACCTCACAATCAACCAGTAGAAACTGCATCAGCAAGTGAACCAGCAACTCATATTTGGTGGCCAGCAAAAACACCATGTCTCATCGAGGTGATGCCGCGGACAGCAGTGTGGCCCTGGGCGTTCTGTGCAAGATCGGGCCCCACCCAGCGGGACTGTTGAGTGCCGCGACTGGGTGACAGACGAGAAAAATTGGCAAGCAAGCAAATCAATACCAACATGAACCTGCATGGGAGCTCCAGTCCTTGTTTTGGAGGGGTGGCCTCGCCCCCCGCAGGGTTGGAGAGGACGGTGTCATCCGGCCAGTTTGGCCTCAGACTAGGATGAGGAACGTGGAGCAATAGTGTGCATGTATGTTCTCCTGTGGTGGGTGTTGAACCTGCGGTGGCGCATGGGTGAGTGATGGGGGATTGTGACGAATAACCAGAGCGTATTCGCCCAACGATTCAATCTCGCCTAGTCGCCAGCAACCATGGACAGCTTCGTCGGAGACTGGCCAGCCGGCGAAACTTGCAGAACGAGGGCGCGGCCATGCAGGACCGCAGGACTCTAGGACTGCAGGACTCGAGGGACCGAATAACAGGTCGAGAATGAGCTGACTTCGAAGGCAGTGTATGTCAAGCGAATGCTCCAGGGGCAGGCGACTTGGGGATGGTTTGTTGGCAGGGCTGACCGTTGGCCTCCGTCGGAGTACCTAGGCAGGGGTCATTTGGTTCTGTGGATTGGACCGTGGGCCCGGTGGAAGCGGGCGTCGGTGATAGGTTCAATGTCACCGCTGTCGAATGGTGCACATCTGGACCATTCTCCTGGCGTTCTGGTGTTGCATGTTTCGTGTGAGCATGACGAGGACGTGGTGGTTCCTTCGTAGCTGGCCGCCGCCGAAACAGATGGATTTATGCTCTGTCCCTGTGTCTCTCGGTTCCTCTTGATGGCCACCGCCGTGCGCATGTCCTGCATCAGGACATCGGATGGCGGATGAATTGAATGGGGAGTGGGTTGACACGGGACGAAGGAAAAAAGAGACTTGACCCAAAAAGAGCGTCGGTAAAGGGATGGCCAAGCGTTGTCGCCAGGAACAGGCGCTCAGTGGCTCGAGGAGCGAGGCGCATTACTCGTCGCCGGAGCTTGCACCCAGCCGTTGGGGGCGGTGCCCAGCAGATGACATCGATAGCCCGCTGTTAGGGATGCTGCGGTGTTGACAGCCGGCCAGACTAACAGGAAGATCCAGGAGGCATCCACTTGATGGGCTGACTGATGCTCCTCCACTCCCCTACCAGAGGCTACTTTCGCTGTACCATGTACGGCACCAAGGGCACTGAAGCGTCCCCCCCCCGAGCGGATCATTAGTGTCTGATCCTCTGAGCACGCTCCGCCTCCCTGGCCTGCAGGGTCTGCATCTGATTGGATTGGGTGGGGCCTGGTTTAGGCAGCAGCCTCCCCCCTCCCATCAATTCCGGCGTCCTCAGTCTGCCACGACCGGATGCTTTTCTAAGCAAACGACCTCACCTCGTCTGCTCTCCCCCCCCCCTTGGCCAATTCCAACCCCCAACGTCCCTCGACCTGAACCCCGAGATCTTCTTGTTCGTCCCTGGATTCTCGCTTCTTCCTCACTCCGCCTACTTCCGCAAACCCCGTCAGGACAACTTGTTTCTTCTCTGCTACCATCACCCAGCAACTGAAAGAGCGTGAAGAGACACGTCGTCCTCAAGAACATCTTTATCCGTGATTGCACCCGCCCCCCCTTGTCTTGTCGACTCGAGCATCGCGAAGCATCATATCCTCCATTTATTCCGCCCACTTCCATCCGCATCTTCGCTTTTCGCCAGCGCGTCTTACGCCAGCCAGCACGTCACTCAACTCAACGCAAACTAGGTAGCAAAGGCGCAACTTCGGGCGCCATTTTCCCACTTGTCGCTGGCTGTTGCTCCTTTGCTCCTGGGCAAGTCCTCCTCTGGCCCCTCCCCGCCCTCCAGGCACACCATTTTGGCATCGACATATATCCGCCTTCTCGCGTCTCTCTCCATCCTCTCTCTTCCAATCGTGCACTTTCCCCGGCTGTCCATCAACATCGACGACGCTCTTGCTGTCGAGTGCCTCGCCGTTTGATCACGTCTGCGAATCGACCGTGAGTGACGCTCGCCCCTTCTCCTCTTCCTCCCCTCCTCTTCCTCTCTGCCTCGCCCCTCAACCCATTCCCCCACGTCTGTCGCCGCCCTCGCCGAACTCTCCCGTTCCTCACTCCTTCATCCACCAATACACTCTCTACCCTCTCTGCCAAGTCTAGGACTACCGCACGCACCCATCCGGCGCGTGGGTTCCCCAGACTTCTCAGGCAGTGACTCACTTCCCGACACCTTCCTTCGCCTCACTCGCCGGTAGCCCCTTCCAGTCCCTTGACTAACCCTGGTGGTGATACCAGAGCTGGCCATCGCCCGCCAGTATCCACCCCCCCCTTCCGACACTTTCGTCATGTCGTGCCAGAACCCTCGCCGCCGGTCCCCTGTGACCCGCGTCGGCGACGCTTCCAGCAATGGCCTCACCAGCCTTAAGACCAACATGACCCTGCGCAAGGGTGCCACCTTCCACTCGCCCACCTCTCTCGACTCTTCATCCATCGACGCCTTCATCCCCCCAGCTCTTGGTCGGTCGCAGACCAACCTTGAAGACGTTGTCGGCGCTCACGTCCGCCGCATGGAGATGATCGTCAGCGGTATCGAGACATCACTCAATCTGAATGATACCCCAAGGCCCGCCTCTAAGCCTTCGCGTGACGAGTGCCTGCCTCGCACAAACGGCTTCCTCGGCCGCCCTACTGTCGACCCCGCCATGGCAAAAGACACCAAGACCAGCGGGGAGCGCCGCGTCCTGCGCCCAAGACATCGTCGCTCATCGGAGCAGCACGCTTCGGACAGCGGTCTCGGCACCTCTCTGGCCTCTTCCGTCGAGAAGCAAGCCCCCAGCATCACCTCCAAGACCAGCAAGGCATCCGCCATTACGCGCTCGGCTGCCGCTCCGTCCAACACCATGACCAAGGTCTCTGGTCTGAGCTCCAAGGCGGTCAGCCGTGTTCACGAACACGTTCTTCGCCCCCTTCGTGCCAAGCCCGAGCTGAAGGACTTTGAGCCCATCGTCCTGGACATTCCCAGGCGCATTCGTGACAAGGAAATCATCTGCCTCAGGGATCTTGAGAAGACTTTGATCTTCATGGCACCGGTAAGTCAACTCTTGTATCAACGCAGCATTTGGGGAGATACTTATCGGTCGTTGATGAAGGAGAGGGCCAAGACCGCCGCCTTGTACCTCGATTTCTGCCTGACGTCCATTCGATGCATTCAAGCCACCGTCGAATATCTCAGCGACCGCGAACAAATTCGACCGGCCGACCGACCATACACTAACGGATACTTCATCGATCTCGTCGAACAGATTCGCCAATACGCCGGACAACTTGCCACTGCCAAGGAAGCCGGAGTGGAGGGGCGTGAGATGGACGTCGACCCCACCGACGAGGTCAAGCTGTTCGGTGGCATCTCGCAGAACGGCCGCCCCGCCGAGCTTGTCCGCGTCAGGAAGGACGGTCAAGCCATCTCCATGGCTACTGGCCTCCCCGTTGACATGGATGAGGACGGCAAGGATTTCCCCAGACTGAAGCGCTCCCTGAGCCAGCAGCTGGCGGACGACGAGGAGATCATGCGGTCCATGGCTCGCAGGAAGAAGAACGCTACGCCGGAGGAGCTCGCTCCCAAGAAATGCCGTGAGCCTGGCTGCAACAAGGAGTTCAAGCGTCCCTGTGACCTGACCAAGCACGAGAAGACGCATTCTCGTCCCTGGAAGTGCCCCGTCAAGACCTGCAAGTACCACGAGTACGGCTGGCCCACCGAGAAGGAGATGGACCGCCATCACAACGACAAGCACTCCTCAGCGCCCCCCATGCACGAGTGCCTGTTTCAAGCCTTGCCCTTACAAGTCGAAGCGCGAGTCAACTGCAAGCAGCACATGGAGAAGGCCCACGGATGGCAGTACGTCCGCACCAAGACCAACGCGGCAGAAGCGCCAGCGTTGCTGGAAAGCTCGGGCACAGCCGACCCCTCAGCTCGGCAACATGGCAACGCCCTCGAGCAGCCACAGCATTGCTACGCCGCCCGAGGAGAGTACCAGCCTCTTCCCGACTTTCAACCACGACGACTTCCCTCACTACGTCCCGGCCGAGGAGTTTGCTGACACCTGCCTCGGACCCATGGGACAGCCGCCCATGACGCTCGAAGGTATCGACTTCAACGACCTCGGCGTGTCTCCCACTGACTACAACACCCCTTCTACCGATACATCCTACCCATACACCTCCTACCAGGATGGACCCGAGTTTGTCATCAACAACGATGATATTTACGGCGCCCATGTCCAGATCCCGACGCCCGCGTGGCCTGACAAGATGATGGCCGGCATGCAGAACTACGTCCCAGTGTCTGCTTGCGAACCTCAGATGATGCCCGAACAGCTCGCCCCACACATCTCCCCGATAGGTCAAGGGAATGCCATGCTCTTCACGCCCAACTCGTTGGCCGAGGTTGACGAAGGCTTTGATGATTTTGGCGGTTGTGGTGACGATTTCACCTTGTTCCCCGTCAACGGGCTTGACAAGGACGCACAGTTCCAGACTCTCTTCGGCAGCGAGATGCCCAGCAGCGGCCTCGGCTTGTCTCAGGGCGCCTCCCAGGACTTCTTTGGGAACGGCATGGACTGGTCCAGCATGGACTACCACACCTACTCCCAGCAGCCCCAGCACCAGCAGTAGAGTCATGTCGCGATACTTTACTGACTGGTTGGTATGGGATGGCGTGTTTCTTTTACGTTCTCTCCAGAGATTGCCGATACGATGACTTTCGATTTGGCTCATGATGTTACGATGAAGACTTGTTTGACAATGGCGTCAAACACACAAGGAGTGTTTTGCTTTTGTTTCCTTGGCTTGCTGTATATTTACACTCTTCTCCATTTGACCTCTTTCTTTGACGATGTCTCAGCTCAAGAAAACCTGTTGCTCGAGGAGATAGCCCAATGTGGCAAGATGGCGAGAGAAGGGGGACGGGAGGGTCGGACCGAGCCAATCAACCAGGCAACAGGACGTCGGACATGTTGCTTCCCCCTGTCTGGATATTTGTCGATAGCTTGGAAGGATTTGGTCGATTTGCTGTGCCTTGAAATGGCTCTTGGGATCTGGTAATGGCACGAAGCCACAGAGAATGCAGACCCTCTCACTTGACCCACCATCAAAGTGCCATCCTGCTGCCTCTTGCGTTGTTGTGCATTGAAACCGTGCTATGAGTTACAGTAAAGGTATTGAGAAGAGCATGCGCTTTGGTCGAGCACGGCTGGCTGACCGATGAGAGGCGAGTCGATGCCTCGCGGAGGTCGTATGGGAAGGGAAGCCCCCGAACCTAAGATTTGACGTGGTAAGGAGGATGAACAGAAACTCAGAATTCCACCAAAAAAAAAACTTAGGTAGCACAATACAACAGGATTAGATAGGCCTTCTTCCGACCAAGATGACTTGCGTGGAGTGACACAGGTTGTCCGTTTTCGCCTTGCATGGATGAACGTGCATGGATGGATTGTGAGGGGCAGCTGCATGAGGCCGCCTGCCAGCTGGCAGATTCCACTCCACAATTGCATCAGGGAGAAAAACCTGAGTTGCAGCAATTTCCTACTCTTTTCCCCCTTCACACTCGTCACCGTCACAACCGTGCCAAAGACCGAAAACCACACCTCGCATCGCCAGCGGCTTCTCGCTTCCTTTCGCCAGCGAGGAGCCCCGTCTGGCCGCCCCCAAACAGGTAAGCCCTTTTTCTCTATCTGATTTCATTCTCCCTACTGCTTTCCCCCCCTGTCCTTTCCAAACAGGAGGAGAAAACAAAACAAAACAATGGCCTACATGATGAGATTCGCATCAACCCCCTCAAAATCATAGGAAGAGCCGTCTGAGACGCCCCGGGCCGCTCTCCTCTCGTGCTGCTGTCTCTCCCTCGCTCCCAGCCTCTTCGGGGGATGGGGTCACCGAGGGGTGCGCGGCGCGTGGAGTGCAAACGGTCCCTCGGCTTAGCTCCCGCTGACGCTGTCGCGCTCGCCCGGCTTGGGGATGGGCAAGACTCGCGGAGATTTGGCACCGTCGCATGCGAATTGTCTCCGTGGTAGGTCTGCCGCCCTCGGCTGGGGGGTTGTGATGGGCGGTGGGGGCGGTGGGGTCAGTTGTGCTTATAATCGGGTTTCTGATGTGGCTTTTTCCAATCACCGCGGAATGTTTCTGTCGTTCTGTTGCCATGAGCCGGCGGCTAACTTTCGCAGTAGTCCAACTTGACTGTTGGTGACGGGGGGCTGGTTTGATGTGTTTTGTTATTTGTTGGGTTGGAGAGACAGGGGCGTGATAATGACGTGTAGCTTAACAACTAATGCGAACACAATTACACAACGTGCACAGAAAACATATACCAGTCCAACCGTATGCATTGTCTACGTACACCGGCTCACGTGAACTGATTTCTATAAGTCTGGGGCTTGTCCGTCCGCCGAACAGCAAGGGTATCTATCTATCTATACATCTTTCTGAACACATGAGCTTTCCAGCATCGGCACGCTTAAAAAAAAACACCCCAGCCTAGTCCGCATGATCCCCAGCGCCTTGTCTTAACACTAGTAGTCGTCCTCGTCACTCTCATCAATAACGGTCCGCCGGCGAATGTGCCGACTGGGCTGCCCGCGAGGCTGAAGATCGTCGTCATCAGCCTCGTCAAATTTGTTCCTTAAGTCATTCATGTTCTCAGACGCGTCCGAATCATCAACAACCGTAGCCTTGCCTAGCCTTGTCGTCTTGGTGGCCAGGCCTGTCCTTGCCGTCACTACGCTAAGGTCAGGCAGGTCGTCTGTTGAGTCCTGGGTAGCTGGCAAGGACAGGGGCTCGAAAAAGGGCTTCATTTTCGTCCTTGTTGGAACTGGAGTTGACGTAACACTCGACGGCAGGTCATCTGACACGTCTCTGAGGCTCGAGATGGGATGATCGTCCCCGACCACAAAATCGAGCAAATCGGCCCCATCATCAGATCCATCCGTGTCATCCATGTCGCTGTCTCGGTCACAGTCGTCACCCAATTCATCGCTGTTGATGCCGCCTCTCTTTTGAGGCGCTCGCTTCTTCGGCTTTCTCCCTCGCGCTTTTGGCGCTGCAGCTTTCTTCGGCCGACCACGCTGAGGTGCCTCGCAAACTGTATTCTCCGAGTCGTCTCCTTCTTCCGCATCAGACACTATGTGAAGGGGAACCTTTGTTGCTGGTCCATTTGACTTGCGTTTCTTCGCCCGTGGTGCTTTATCAGGCCCATCATCGTTGAGCCCGAGGAAATCAGACTGCCTTTTTTTGGTGACTTTTGGTGGCCGCTCATCATCGGTGTCAGGCGCAAATGGCGGGAACGGGATATCTTCCCATCTACTAGTGTCCTGGTCTCCATACGGCTTGTGCCACTTCTTTGCCGGATCTTTGTACTTCTTGGTCCAGGTCTGCATAAGCTCGACGTACTTCTTTGTCCGCGTGCCATGTTGTACCTTGCCGACGGGCCTGAGACGTCGATTGAGTGCTGGATGGGCATTGATGTCGACAACCTCAATCTCCTCTACCTTGCTCCGGTTGAAAGGCAGAGTCCGATAATTTCGATCCAGCTCCGCCATCTGGCGCGTGTTGAGCAGCACAGAGTCTAGTGGGGGTATTTCTGTCAACCGATCGAGCTCACACGGCGCTGCTGGCGTAGCCTTCTTCGGCGTCTTCTTCTTAAGGCCCTTCGACACAGATCCATCCAATAATCCTACGCGCGAAGCCGTGACGAAACCCGTCTCCACGCCGTCCGGCATGTGGAACTTTTTGGGTGGCATCTTCTTCTTCGCGGCCCCCGCCTTTCGTCTCCCCGGTTCAGGAAGTGCTGTGTTCTGGGTGTTCTCGATTGGAATCTCGATCTGTTGCATGTCGACCTCGGGTCGAATCTCCCTCGGAACGATACGTGCCGATAGATCATGGCGAAAGTTGAACTTACTACCCTCGCAAATCAGGGCCTGCATCGCTTCGTAGTTTTCTCTCGCTCGGCTGAAGCTCTCTTCTTCCTTGCCTCGCATGAGGAGTAGGACGACGTTGCCCTCTCGCTTGCGACCTGTCCGGCCCATCCGCTGCAACATACGGATTGGGGACGAAGAGGCGTCATAGCACACGATCAAGTCGACTTGGCCAATGTCCAGACCCTCCTCGCCGATGGACGTGGCAACAAGAACATTGTACTCGCCCGTCCTAAACTTTTCGACAGTTGCGATCTGTTGAGCTTGTTTCATGCCAGCTGACCGCTTTCCCTCGGCTTGGCCGACGAAGACGGTCGGCTTGATGAGCGGCTTGTGGATGCTCAGCGCTCGTACAATCTCCTCGGCGCTGTCTCTGTATTCGCTAAAGACAATGGCGCGGGTGGCTGAACCCTCCTTGGCGTCCATGAAGTGATTCAGCATCGTTTCGGCCAACTCGGCCAGCTTTGGGTGGCCGACAAAGCTGGGTATGCGAAGCCACCCCTCGATTTTTTGCATCATGTCCTGAAAGCTGGGGTCCGCGACGAGCTGTTTCTTGTATTTGGAACCCTTCTGCCCCTTCTCCTCCACATCGCTCCTGAAGTCTTTGAGATTGTCGAAGAACGGTTTGATGCCGTGGAAGTTGAGAAGCTTGATCGAATGTGCCAGCGATTTCAGAATGGCGAAGATGGCCCGCATCATGTGCTGAAGTGGTTGAGGCACATGCCGCCCCGCGCTCTTCATCCAGTCTTGTTCTTGCTTCATAAGCCCAAAAGTGGTGATGGCCATGGGGTCTCGGCCGTAGTAAATGTTTTGCTTCGTCAATTTGTCCATCATCGGCTTCAGGGCTTTCGTGAAGAGATCTTTGATCTCGCACATCTCGTACGATGGGTCAATGATGCGTTGATCAATATTCCGCTGATGGACATACTGGCGAATGTCGATGGAGTCTTCTGTGCGAATCTCGGTGTGCGATATGCCTAGGTTGTCAATGACCTCTTGCACCGTCTCGACCTTGGAGCCTGGCGTGGCTGTCAAAGCCAGTACCCTGAAATAGGGGTTAAAGCGCCGCATCTGCTTGACCACCTTGGCGTATGCATACTCTCCTGTCGAGCGATGAGCCTCGTCAACCACTAAAAGTACAATAGACTTTGGATCGGCGTAGCCTCTAGAGATGTCGTTGAGTAACGTTTGCGGCGTCATGAAAAAGACGCGCTTGGCTTGCCATTCATCAACGCGAGTAGCTGGGGTAACGTCACCCGTGAGCATGGTAGTCTCCGATCGAGATATACCGACAATGTTGAAGCAGGCATCGACCTGTTGCGCGACAAGCGGCTTGGTCGGCGCGACGAAAACAATTTTGGCTGTCTTGGTCCAGCGGTGAAAGTTGAGCATGACCGTGGCGGCGATGAAGGTCTTCCCAAGACCAGTTGGCAAGGCTACCAGAGTGTTGTTAAATAGTCCATTCTTCACAATGCTGTACTGATAGTCTCGGACAGCGCCGAGGTTCTTGGGATAGACCCATGTCTTGAGAGCTTCGTTGTTTAGTTCGTGATGAGTAGCTTCGACAGGCTTGTCTGCACGATAAACCCTTCCGAAACCAGGGTGTACGGGCCTGGAATCAGCATCTTCTTCGTCATTGACAGTGCCACCGAAGAGGGTCGTCTGACGAAAGCCGTTCGATGATGTCCGTCCGAAGGGTTGCCGCGGTGTTCTGGGTGGTGCCGCGACGACCGGGTCCAGGTCCGGCGATGATGAAAATGCAGCTGCAAGGAGCTCATCCATCTCACTGGCTTTCATGACATCCTGGTAGTCTGGCGCACGAGCTGTCTACGTGTGCTTTAGTATGAACATTTCAAACTGAATGCTGAGAACAGCACGGTATATGCTTACGTTGATAGTTGAAGGGTGAGTGGCTGACAAAGACCTCGAGGAGCTTATTGTATTGAAATTTGCTCGAGATGCGCTGGACCCAACTGCCCTGTCGCTCTGGCTGAAAGCCTCTGCCAGATCCTCATCAGCAATGTCGTCATCGTAGTCGTCAGAGTCCATTGCGAAACAGATCGGAGCGCCTTATGAGAACACGCGCCGTGAGCCTTCCGCGGCGGAATCCGACACTTAACGATGGTGATGGTGGTAAGTGAACCGTAAAAAATATGTTTCAGTGGGCTATATGTGCAGATGGACATTAGCGACTCCGGGTGGCCAGCATGCTGTCACATGGTCAGATGGTTCACGTCGCTCGTCTTTACAGTGGCCACTCTTGACGCGACCCCTGCCAATGTTCGACGCGAAACAGCCTCCGAATCACATGACCAAGATCCCATTGTCGATGAGTCAGCTTCAGCCTCCAGGGATCGAAACTGACTGGGTTACTCTAGGCAGTTCCTTTCACTTGGCTTTCTCAGGCTCTGATTGGTGTGTCGCGTGCCCCACAGCCTGCCTAAGGTAACTTACGTAGGTAGCAGCATGTGCAGAAACCCAAAGCGTCATGCCTGCCCAGGATTTCTTCAAGAACCTTGACCATCCCGTCACCCGCGAAACTCTTGTGAACACAAAAGACACACACATACATCGCTGGTTTTGTCCGGACAAAGGGGCTATTCACCTCACCCCACGAAGGAAACGAAACAACCTGCGAGTACTCACACGCGAAACGAATTTCGTCACGAACCTGTGGCGCAATTGCCAACTGACGACTGTCTGCTTGCATCGATCCGGCTTGACCTTTGACGGTTGATCCTTCCAATCGTCTTCCAGCGAATATCCATTACCAGCATCTTCCTCGGAAGAACCACGCAGCACCAATACATTACTCGCCAGATTGGTCTTACAGCCGCCAAGTCTGAAGGCCGCTTCAAGGAAGAACCTGAAAAAAAATAACGTTCCACCCCGCTGTGCATGCCGACTCGTGCCTCTTGACCGAAACGCCGTTGCGCCTACCACTTTCACTTCACCACACTCGCAATGGCGCCCCCTCGGTCAAACCGGGCTCCAGCCTCTGCTCCTAAGGGACCGTCTCGGGGCGGTATCCAGAAGCGTGGACGGGCAGGACGGGTTGATCAGGACGGTGATCTTGATATGGACTCTGCTGCGGCTCGCCGTGCTGGCAGACCTGCCCGGAACGAACCATCGACCGCTCGCCCTCAACGGGGCGCGCGAACAAATGCTGCCCCTGCTAAAAGCTCGGCACGAAACCACCAGGCTATCGCCCGCCATCTTGATGGCGAGGGCGCGGATCTGATCACCAAGAAGAAAGCACAATCCGGTCCACTCGTTTGGCTAGATGTCAAGGGGTTGAAGGAGAGCAAGGCTTCGAGGAACAGGGACGGTGGAATCAGAGACCTCATCTCGTTCATAGAGCGCAAGGCGCAGAGCGCTGGTCAGAGGACCAAGGGTGTCATGGTCTTGAAGGTATGTTGAGATATCGAAACACTGAAGGGAAGCACATAGGGATGCCGAATGGTCCAGCTGGACCTCGTCAAAACGCCACGTTCGCCGCGACGCACGAGACAACAGCCCTCGTCCATACCGGCTGCTTATGCCCGAATTTCTCCCCTCGCGGCCCACGCCGTTATATGGGGAAGCATCTTGCTAATGATCAGTAGCACAAACTCGTGAATGACATCGTCCAGATCGCCGCCACCAAGGAGAACGCTGAATTTTTTTATTAAGGTGAACGGCTTCGTGTTTGCTGGTGCCAAGCTCGAAATCACCGACTCGGGCGGCTCTCTCGCTAAAGCCACCGAAGCCTCAGCAGCAGCACAGGACCTCAAGTCTAAACTTACCAACATCATGTCACAGCGTTACCTGACTGAGAACAAACTCTTGAAGCTTGACGCCTTGAACCAAGACCAGCAGCTCGTTGAGATGGGCGTTCTTGAGTCCAAGGATCGAGCTGAAAAGCTCGTGAAGGTCATGATGAAAATCTGTGACGACCTCTTCAAGACGCCCAAGGACAAGACGGACAACATCCACAGCATCAGTCTCGCAAATAATGGCCTCGACGGTGTCGCCCAAGTCGAGGACATTGCAGAGACATTCCCAGACCTCCTCAACCTCGACCTCAGCGGTAACAAAATTGCTACTCTGTCTGGTCTCATGCCATGGAAAGGCAGGCTTCGCAAGTTGGATACGCTCTACATAACCGACAACCCTATCGACATTGCCGATCTCAAGGTCCAAGCAGCGTTGCTAAAGTTCTTCCCCAAGCTCACCAACATCAACGGACAGCAATTCACACCTGAACACCTTGCCGAGTTGCAAAAGTTTACGAGACCACGCCCTATTCCTCAACACGGCCCCGACTTCCGCGACGCCAACGGGATTGGCGAGAGCTTTCTGTTGGAGTTTTTCGTGGGATTCGACACAGATCGCCTTGGTCTACTGGCAAAGTACTACGACGACGACAGCCAATTTTCTCTCGCCGTGGATACGAACTCAATCCGCGACAAGGACGCGCCGCAGCCAATGTCCTGGTCAGCATACATTCCTAAGTCGAGGAATCTGACCAGGATCACGACCACTGCCGCGCGAGAATCGCGTCTTCTCAGCGGTCGCGAGATAATTCTCAAGACTTGGAACGAGCTGCCATCTACAAAGCACCCCGACATCAAAGCTGATACTACAAAGTACATTATGGATTGCCATCTTCTTCCGGGCCTGGGTGACCCGACAGGCCAGACGGGTGCTTCTCTAGATGGTATGGTGCTCTCTGTCCATGGGCAGTTTGAAGAGATGGACAAGGCGTCCAATCAGCCAGGCCTCCGCAGCTTCTCGCGAAGCTTTGTTCTCGGTCCTGGGCGTCCAGGCAACAACCCCATCCGCGTTGTCAGTGACATGTTGTCTTTGCGAGCCTGGAATGCCTTGCCAAATGTGTTCGTCGCTGCTGCTGCTACCTCCGCCGCCGCGCCGCCGCCCGTTCCAGCCCAAGAGCAAGAGCTCCGTCAAGCGAAGATCCTGGAGCTATGCAAGCAAACATCAATGACACCCGTCTACTCGGAAATGTGTCTCAACGACACTGCCTGGGACTTCGATCGCGCACTGGCCGTGTTCAATGAGAAGAAGGTAAGCGTTTCCCCACACATCATTGTCACCAGAACGAAGCGCTGATTTCATTGCTCTTATCAGGCACAGCTTCCTGCCGAGGCTTTCGCTGTGGTGTAGGAACATCACACCTGAGGGCATAGTCATGAGCTAGTATGCTCGTTATATCAGAGACGACCTTGAGAACCCAACCCAGCCATGACCGGATGGTTGCGGATGAGGCTATTTATCGAACGGAAGAGTTTCAGTTCAACCGAACGATCGGAGGACGAAGAAGACAGGCATCCTTTGAAGGGAATGAACGCAGACGAACAACTCCACGACTCGCATACTGTAACGTTCCCGCTGCTGCGAGGACATGTGAAATAGTTATGGACATCAACATTATATACACAACGATCCTCCGGCGCAGGAGCCATAGTCATGGGAAGGGAGATCGGAGGCTTGCTGTTGGTGGTTGCGTGTACATCAAATACCTAAATACAATGAGAGCGGCGTCTCGATCGTTCAACCAGAAAACACCCAATGTGCACGATTCGCTGCGAGACATGCATATGCCCAAGATCCCCAGTGCGGCGGGTAATGTGACGTCGAGGTGTTGGCGCTGTGATGCCCACGCGGAAACATACTCCGGCGGCTACGCAACGACAGATTGGCCAAGATTCTTCAGCAGCCACATTCATGGAATCACTGCAAGGTGGCCGGCACTTGGGTCTGATAAAAAGGTTAACGATTGCACAGTCCCACCAATGGGGACTGAGAAGTCGATCTTCGGGGCGATAGAGGTTTGAGACGCGCGGGTTTTCTGTGGTTGGGTGTGTGGTTGGGTTATGGTGGGCAGAACACGCCCAGTGAGACTGTGCGGGAGTAGGCGGGTGAGTGGGGAGGGTGCATCAGCTGCGATGCAAGTCATGAAAGGCGCGATCGATTTGATGGTTGCGATTGCGATTGCGACTTTGGCTGGCACATTAGTTGCTAGCAACGCCACAATGGCCCATCCCTTGAGTGCCCAGATTGGGCCACAGTTCTTCGCATAATCGATAGCTGAGTGGTTGGAAATACATGTCGCCAATTGAATTGAGGGACATAGCAAACTGTGCATCTAGATGCCTTTATGTTACCTACCCTACCCTATGTTTCAAAGACGTACCCGCCCTCGATCATGTACTGAGCTAGTATCTACTTTGCTGTATTTCGAAGCTCTATACCAAGGCAGGCGGTGATCATTATGTGTACTGGGGCCGAATTTGAGCATCAAAGGGACACATGAATGGTGTGCTGACAAAACACTATGGGCATTGATGTTTTTCAGTTACCACCACAACACGATAGACCATTCAGCAACTGGAAACGCAGCAGCGGATTTCTCGGATGGCCTCAACCAGCAGGCCGCATAGATCGAGGCGCGGTGCGGGGATGATTTATGCAACCAGACGACTGCTCCCAACCTGGGCGTCTCATCCTCACCGCTGGGATACCCCGATCTTCAATTGCCCCGGATGGAGCATTGAGACGACGAAGGTGTCACGTATCACGAAGACGTGTTCCCATGAGTCTGCGCGAGTCGAGCACGACAAGGAGATCTAGATCGACATGGAACTCCATCATCGAAATGATCCAGACGTCATCTTGCACTCAACGTGAACAGCGCACGATGAGGTGGACAGGCCGTCCATCCGTCGTAGAACAATCGGAAGCCACTCGAATTCGAGGCCTGCTGCCTCAGTGCCAAGCAGCAAAGATAATTTCTTCTCTCTCTTTCCGGGCGCAATGCTCGGTCCTCCTGCCACGGTCATACTTTTCGGGGGAACAAATATAGCCCCACGGACGAGGGGACCCTGAGGCGAACTCTTTGATAACGTGGGCTGGCGTGCTGACATGGCGTGGCAGCCCTTTGACAAGTTGTGCACTGACTAACACTTGGGGCCGGGGGGGAGACGATGGGAGTGGCCTACGGTGAGGCTGGAACTCGGAGACGAGGGAGCAAGCGGGTAGCCACGCCGTAAGTATTGGACGCCCCTCCTTCTTCCGTCCTGCTGTCCGGGCCATGGTCGTCGGAGCGGACTCCCGAAAAGAATAGGCGTTGCAGGGCTCCTCGGACGCAGCGAACGATGCACGAGGTGCAAGGTCTCCTAGCCCAAGGATGGACCGAAAAGGGTCAGGCACATGCTGAAGGGGAAGGAATCAGTGCACTTGAGGCAAGACGCGAGCTTTCGATGACCCACCATGACCCAGATACCTGTCGTTGAAGAACAAGATCCCCCCCCCTGTTGAAAGACTCGTGCAGGTGCTGGGCAGCGATGAGGGCTACATGTACAAAGTGGCTGAGGCCCAACGGGCATGGTTGTCGCGCGATGTGGAATGGGTGTGGGACGAGCAGCAGTTGTAGGGAGGCGCGTGCTTCTACATGGGGTTTGCTTTGGCCATTCTCGAGGCGATCAAGCAATTGAAATGGTATCTGCGGTGAAGGCACGATGCTCATCAGGTGGCAGAAATTGCGAAAGGGACGATATGCTGAGATGATTTATGCGTTGCGAGATGTTGCGCGATACGACGCATCGTTGTAGGCCAAATTGAGATCACCATTTTGGCAAACAGACCAGAGAAGGTCTCCATGGTGTGGTTCAGCTTCCACAGTGCACCAAAGTCGAAGAAATCACCTGGTCGAAGCACCCAGATGGAGTGCCCAATAAGCAGCAGTTTATCGGTGACAGGGGACACCGACAGGGTGCCAGGGGTGCCTGGGCTGGTCAGACTAGCTCAGGGGCCACAGCGGCAGGTGGACGATGGTGTGTTTCACTGAGAAGCCGCTCAGTGGAGGAACGGGACCTCACTCAGAAGCCAATCACATGTGCCACATCTCACGTTCTCCCAAACTGTCGCCCTTCCGCCCTCACTCGTCCTCGCTCTCCTACACAGCACCTTCGTGCAAGAGACGCGCGGGTGGGGCATTGTCGGAAGGAGATTTGGGATGTGGCTCGTTTGATTGCAATGACGACAGACTGCTAGCACAGACACCTCGATGTGATGCACAACGCAACGTGAGTGTAAAGAACAAAGAAATAGAGTCTGAGTGAGGTGACATGCCGGTACTCTCGACAGCAATCGCACACACACGAGACGGAGGACTTGAAAGACGGGCAGGTCGGTGTGACCAGGAGGTACCACATCCCTCCCTACCTACTTGCTGCATGCACGACTTGATGCAGTGTCAGTCCCTTCGCCCCGAGCCCCCCTTCCAACCATCGTGGACAGAGGACTTGGGCACGAACTTGACCAAAGACACAACAGCGAGCAGAGGAACGCCTTCTCGTTTCTCGACGAGGCGCGCTGCTGCTATTGTTGTACACGGGCCTTGCCTGGTTTTGACTAGCTCCAACAGGGTTGCGCCAATGCCAGGCACGGAAATGCATTGCAGCGCTCATTGGCCCCAGGTGCTCCCACCCCTTTTCCAGAGCCTTGGCTTCCCAGGGCTCGCTCCGGGGTGGGCTTGCCGCACGAAGCACGCTTCACCGGTTTGGACCCTCAGATACCCACTGTTGATCCCCGCTACGAACTCTCATTCGCCCAAGCCCGCGCTGCATCAAAGCCTCCCGGTCCCCTGCCCCTGCCTCTGTTCGTGTTTCCTCGTTTGTGCCAACCCTGACCTCGCAGGTGGAAAGATGGCTGTGGAGGTCTTCCAGGAGGCAGGTGCCTGAGTGGCAGGAGGTAAACGACCCACGGCCTGTCAACTCTTGTCGCTGTCTCACCAAGCCTGCTCGACGGGGGGTCTTGCCAGTGCTGTGAGGAGTCTTGCTTCGCCTGCCCCTTGCCTCCTCCGCCTGGCCTCGCTTCGCAGGTGCTCGACTTTGTCCCGCCTTCTCTCTTTCTGTCCGCCGGTCTTTCCGTCTCTTCTTCTCGACTCGAGGTACATCGTCAAACCGCGACCGCGATTGTTGCCGTTGCTGTTCATCGTCTGGCACGTTGATTGATCTCGTCGACCCAAGTCATTCATTGTTCACTTGCTCTTGATCTTCCGTCTTCGCGCCTACCATCCTTCGATTCTCTCACCAAAACTACGACGACAAACCGCGCCACATACCTTTGGTCTCGTCTTGATCCAGAACTACGTCCTCGTCTCGACACCATTGCCTAAAAAACGAAGCAAACGCTGGCTAGCCTGCAGACTCCTTACCTTTCCGACGTATAGTCGTCTGACAGCATCGTTCATCCCACCAAAATCTGCGACGCCAATCCCCTCAGAGTTCAGGAGAAGACCAGATCCTTCAGAGCCCAGCCGACCTGACTAGCCCTCTCCCTTACTCGGGGCTTTTTCAAACGAGAAACTTGTTCCGTCGATCATCCTCCGAGACCACGCCGCTCTTCTTACGACTACTGTAGTGTGGTGTCTCGCGCGCCCTCGACCTATTTTGTTTTTCTCGATCAACTGAGCCTTGACGGTCTCGGAATCAGTGCTGGTGCTCTTCAGAAACACACCAGACACTTACTACTGGTGCGTTTGGTCGTCTGGTCTGCCCTGTTGGCTTCAGGCACATCGTCTTGCAACTGTTGCTCATTTATGCGAAGCTACTTCATACTCAACGTTCGGACGACAAGCCTCGACGTCCGACGACCGCTTCGTCCCTGAGGCCCGCCAGAGTTTCACCTGATTAAGTCCTTACTGTCATCCCCGCAATGCAATACTAGGCCCATAAGGATATCACTGAGGTATTCGTCCTCAACACTCTTTCGCACTTTCAAAGCGACGTCCGCACCTCCGGCCCAGGACTCGACTCGAACCGACAAAATGTCGATTCCTGAGCCCGAGGTTCCCCTCGACCACATATGCTCCACCATATGGGGCAACACACTTTACACCTTCTCGACTGGTGCTTTCCAGGCTTTGCCTTTGAAGCAAGGAGCGAAATGGGAGAAGCTGAAGCCTGGCACGCCTGTTGACGGCGCCCAGTGCGTGGGCACCCCAACCGCATTATGGGTTGTAGGAGGCCAGTCATCAGAAGCAGGCTACACCGGCCTTCAAAAGTACACTTACTCAACAGGCACGTGGGAAGTCATCAACGCCCAGGAACCTGTCGCCAAGAATCGCAAGTGGCATGGTGCCGCCTACCTCCCTGCCACCGATCAGATCATCACGTATGCCGGCACCGTCGATGGCGCTCAGCGTAATTCCGACCAAACTTTCACCATCAGGGCCTCAGCGCCATATGACGTGCAGGCCTACCCATCCGGGGCGACGCCTGCCCAGAACCCCATCCTACTTCCTTGGTCTGACAGGCAGGTTGTCATGGTTGGCGGCGCTGCCGCAAACACAAGGGTTATGCTGTTCAGCCCAGAGACATCCTGGATCGATGCTGGTGTTACTCTGGCCGAACCTATCCCCAAGGATATTTCTGTGGTCAAGGCTATCATGGTCAACGGAGATGACGGGTCGAAGAATCTCATGACTTTCGACCTGAGCGAGATTCCCAACAAGGTCAACCGCATGGTCCTGCAAGGCGCCGGTGGCGCCCCTGTTACCATCTCGTCCGCCATCTCTGGTCGCGACGAGGGCAGCAGGATTGCTCTTGAACACGACGCCGATATTACTCGACGAGACCTCACTGTGGCAGACTGGCCTTCTTACAACGATACCCTCGCACCCCTCATCACTCGCGTCAATTTTGCCATCGCACAGAACTCGGACGGCATGGTAGTTCTTGCGGGAGGAAATCCTGACACATCTTTAAGCATGTTTAATGTTCGCGAGAACACTTGGGAGGACACATCTCGCGCCTTTGCTACGGATCAAGAAGTTTTGTCCGATGGCAATTCCAGCACCTCCCGCTCTGCCGAATCTACGAGTGCCTCTACAAGTGTTTCATCCTCATCGGATACTTCTTCTACTGAGGCATCGACACTCACTACCTCTACGTCGATCTCGGAGTCCATCCTTGCATCTTCAACCGGAGTTTCTGAGGCGTCCTTGGTTTCCGTGTCTGCTTCCGCTACTGCCACCGAGTCGGGTGGAGTGGCCGCCGCCGCTGCTGCCGGAGGCAGTGGTCTAAATGCCAACGCTATTCTTGGCATAGTACTCGGCACCATTACAGCTGCAATGATTCTCCTAGGCCTTGCTCTATTCTGTCTTCGCCGAAAGAGGATCCAGCGACAGAACCTCGAGTCCGGTAACCTGGCCCGCGCCGCCAGCAGCGCCCGCGTGCGGGAGAAGGGTCAGCCTTCTGAATTCGCCAAGGAGATCGCCGTCGGCGGCGACGACGACCTCCGCTCTCCCGCAAGCCCACCCTCTCGCGGCCACTTCCGCGGCCATGAACCTTCCAACTCGCAGAGCTCCTTTTCGTCCGTGGCCATTCTCATGGGTCAGATTAATGGGCACAAGAATGGCCACGATAAAAAGCAGAGCACCGCTAGTGGTATGTTTGGGAAGGGGTTCAAGTCATCTATCAGCAAGCCCATGCCTCAGATGAACGACAACCCAGCTCTTCAGAACGAAGGACGCTCATTGACAGGAGACGAGAAAGGCGTTTCCTTCGCAGCCAACACGGGTGGACAGCCGAGGCCTGGCCCTCCACCTGGTGTCGCCTCTGACCCTGACGGTTTGCGACGAAGCTCTGGTTGGAACAGGTACTGGTCTGGCGGCAGTGCGCTGAATGTCCTCGGTTTCGGTGGTCAGAAGCGTATGACAACGGATTCGGACCAAAGCTCGCATTACTCGAACAGGAACCGCATCACCCAGGACTCCGCCACTGTACCACCACTGAACTTCGAAGGCAGACCGCAGATGAACCGGGTTATGTCAGGCAGCCCTACCGTTTCAAACTATCCCAACAAGTTCCGTTTGGACCCTGAAATGTCTGGCAAGATTGAGCGACCTGTGTCAGCCGCGTCTTCAGGATACTCCAGCGGCGTCCCGGAAAGCGTGCGCGAGACATGGGATCCTCTCTCAGACAAGAAGCCTTGGGGAACCGAGCGGGCACCCAGCAGTGCCTACAGCGAAAGCTTCTATCACCCCACATCTCTGGCACCAAGCTCGCGGCAGCCACCCCCTCCCCCTCCTGTTCCTGATGGCCTTAGCAAGCAGCCGCAACTCGCCATGGCTACGACCTCAACAGACATGAGCTGGCTCAATCTTGGCGACTACCACAAGAACAACGGTGGCTACGACGCCAACGAGTCTCGGGTATAAATTACCTATCTCAACGAAATGTATGAAAAAAAGGAGGGGGTTTTCTGCAACTCGTTGCACCAGGCTTCTCAGGGTCACCCAACCCCACGAGCGGCTTGCGGCGCATTGACGAATCACTCGCATGATGATCATCTCTTGTCTATTTCTCTACCGCCTTTGCCATCTTATACCCAGGTATTTGTTTACATCGTTCCGGAGCCTCTTTTTAGCAACGGGGGCAGCGAGGGCGGCGGGGTCTTGTCGCCCTCGCCGCATGCACACATCGACCATAGACGGCATAGAGGAGGACCGCCATAAAAGTTCCACCCCCAATTACTCTCGCTTTTCGCCTCTCTCGGCGTTTCATCAGTCACTCGACTACCACTTTCGCTATTCGAACCACACGAAGCGCAGCAAGCCAGCGTCTTTCTGCCCCACAACAATGCATTGTCTAGCCAGCATAATCAGCAGCTCGACTTTCCTTCACTCATCTCTTGAACATATCTCTCCAAATCTTCCAATCTCGCTGTCTCTCTTCATCTTTCTTTTTCGCGGTGAATCCAAACCGCCGCGTTTCTGTACAAATTCCGTCACTCTTTTCTTCTATCCCCGTCAGCTTAGAACCCCAGAGACCGCCAGGGCCGGTCATTCGTTTCCCGTCGGTCCTTGCCATGATACCAAACTCCTGCTATCAGCCCGCCTATTACCAAATGTGCGATTTTGCTTTCCCTGCTTTCCCTGCTTTGCTTGTTTAAATGTAATTACTCTCTGATAGATCCCCAGGGGAGGATGAAGCGGATGAAGGTTGCGCTCTGATGCCAGTGCGTGTAACCTGGTTGGCAGTGAAGGTGGAGGTGCGGAAGGCGGAAGGCGGAAAGAGGTTCAATAAGGGGAAGGGGAAGCGCAGCAGTTGGTGGATATGTGTGGAGTAGCTATCTGTGCTTAATTCACGGCTTTCCATGTTAAGTGCGTTCGTTTTGATGTGTCAATTCTACTTGCGACGAGGATGTATGGCGTGAAGCCTTGGGTACAAGTCGTATTTCTCATACATATCACGCCTCGCGGGTGGATTTTCTTCGTGGCCAGTTGAGCATCGTGTCGCGGGCTCTAGTTTCCGAGAGCAGACCAACCCAACTTTTATGGCCGTCTCTCAAGAGCGTGATTGTCGACACGTCTCAGATTACAGCGTTGTCGAAACTGTCCCCAGCCCGCCCGGTTACACGCGGGCTTTCAGATGGACCTTGCCTCCAGGACGCGGTCCATACCCGTTTCTGCAGACCCAGTCTCGCACCCCATCCCATCGTTGGGATCACATGTCGAATTCGGCCGAAAACCCACTCTACCTAACGGTCCTGAGAGCATGCTCCTGTCCTCATCCCAGCAACCTTGGGCGGCTCGGAAAGAGAGGGGCGCGAAATGGGACTCCAGGCGTGACGAAGCGGAGTCCGTCCGCGGCATCGTTACCCGACCTTGCTTCCGATTTCCGCGGACGCGTCCGGACGGAGGAGAGGGCCCAAAAGGCACAAAGGCGCGAGACAAGGGGTTGTGAGTGGGTGCTCGGTGGCGCGACCGCGTCGGATTAGGTCAGCACAAGACTGAGCCTCAAGCCCGTCTTCCCCAGATTTCAATCCCCCCTCCCATTCAACGTCAGTTCGCTCGTCAGGAAGGCAGTGGGCGGGCGATGCGGATGACCATCGGTGCACGCTCTGGCGTGCGCTCCGTCATCGGTGCTGCATGACGTGGGTCACGTTCCTACCAGGCTCAAGGTTGAACTAAATGATCTTTGTTTTCTTCTCCGTCTCGCAGTCAATTGAAATCTCGCAAGCCAATAATCCGGAATCCGGCACGCTGGGGTACTCCACGGCTGAGAGGCGAGGAGGCGCGCACGTGGGCTGATCGTTGGGTGCAGCGGCGTCCAAGGGGTAAAAAGAGGCGCGAGCCAAACTGGAACCCCCACAACGACACCATCACATCGGCACCCTGTCGCAACGCCCTGTGGTGCAGGGTTCATCATTCCTGATTATGAAGAGAGGGGAGAGGGAAAAGTCGGGTGCATTTAGGGGGGGCGCTGCGTGGTCATTGCAGCGCTGTTTCTTTCCCCTGCCACAGCTCCGAGGAGGTTCATAGCTAAGTGGAACATGACGCGAGAGGCTTGAAGAAGCTCCTGCGGACGCATATAGCCCTCGGGCGATGGCTGTGCCGGCGAAGGGTTTCGGACCCTTGAGATCGGAACTTCCACGATAGGCTACTCGACTTGACCAAGCGTTCACGATGCATGACGGTGATCTGAGGGTTTGGCCTGTCACGGAGTGACCGACGTGGTGGTGCAGGTGATGTGGGAGCCTGAAATTTAGTCGAGGGGTGGTCCGGTGATGACCTCCAGGTGGCGATCCTGTCTGCGCGTCACAGAAGGAGGGAAACACAAGCTTCCTGCTGATGCTTATTATAGTGTGTCAAAGCCTCCAGGTCCGTCATATGCTACTGCTGTGCCGCCACCTACTGTGTCATCGTGAACTATGCATGCTGTGGGTCACTTCGAGAACCTGACTTGGTAAATCACGGATCGTCAGCCTACATGGTATCGGCAGAACCTCAACGCAGTCCTCAACTATTGACCAGAATCAGCTAACAGCTGACCGATTCAGCTGGTCTCGCCTTGCCTCATCCCGCCTGTCGCATAAGCCAGTAAGCTCGCAACCACCATGTCGGGTCAACCTCTCCACAACATGTCGTGGGGTGCAGTGCAGTAGTAACCCCAAGGAAGAAACACATTACTCCCGAGATGTCACTGTGTCTCGCGTTGCGCCATCGAATCCTACCTACCTCGGCTACAATGTCTGTGTTGTTGACTATCACTACCGAATCACATCGGACGAAGGATCGGCCATTCTCGCTACCATGTCGAATCACGCTCGAGAGCCGACGGTATAGCCCGCGGCTGCCATGATTCGGTCCTTCCATACAACCGAACGTACCGTTGCGCTTGTACAGTGGCCCCTGCAGGCGAAGTCTGATGAGAACTTCCAGAAGGCCTGCCCCGGTCCAGGCCCGAGAGGAAAAGGAACAGCTGAGAATATGCACAAGGCTGCCGCTGCCACACCCCCAGCGGTTGCCCCTCTGTGGAGCGCATGCGGGTGGTGCTCTTAACAGCCCTCAGGGGAAGGGAGAAAAGTTTTCTCATTGGCCTTAGCTCAAAAGGTTTTGTCAGGTTGAGAAGGGTGGAAGGCGTCAAGAGTCGTTTTCCAGATGGGCCCTTGGTTGGTGATGACTTCAGTTCTGTCAGTTTCCAGTATGGATCGTAATGGATACAGATTGGGATGAGTACGTAGTTGGCTTACAGTTCGCTGAGGGAAGAGCAGGTTGCGACGAGATTGATAGGACTGGAGCTGCGCAGGACTTACCGAACCGCCCCAGGCGAACGACTGACGGATCGCTGCCTCGGCGGCCACCGCTGAATTTCTCAGTTGTGAGAGACACAACTGAGCTTTGCTCAGTCTCTCTGCCTCGGCGAGCTTGATACAGGGATAATTAAACACAAAGGTATACTTTTACATCTCATGGCTGAGGTGGATATCGAAGACCTTGCAACGATGAATGTAACTGTACGTCGTTTGCTGGAAGAGGAGAGGCCGGTCAGGACACCAGGAACTGTCGTGTGCCAGCCTAGAGAAGGTTAGCCCGGACGACATCGCTCGTTCTAGGCAGGTCAGGGCGCTGCGGTAGCTCGGTGGTGATTCTTCTTCACCAGTTCTGCCATCTCGCTAGGCGTCGCGCGCTAGGCTAAGATGCCGCGGTCTCGTGATGTTGATACTCTGGTCGAACAAGTTGACAGAAAACGAGAACCTGCTTCTTTGACAAGTTGGTTCACTCTCCTGGTGGAATCCAACGCTGAAGCCGCAGACCAAGATGCTGCAGGTGATATACGTACCTCGTACCTCCCCCCGCATGTAAACCCCCACGGCAAAGGCAGGGGACTGTTGCGCCCGTCATGAGGCACCTTTACCTAATTTCTGGGGGAGATACGGAACAATTCTCGGAAGGCCAACTGTGCAGAACCTCATTTTTGCATGGCCAACGAACCCCAAAGCGAGCATTGATGCTCAGTTCTGTCTTGTATCGAGGTCGAAGGGTACCTGATGAACCTTACCGCGATTCCCTGCTGGCGGCTTCGGAAAGAGGATGTAAAGGAGGGTTTCCAGGATACTTCTCGGTCAGGGACCTTGTAACTGGCTAGCGGGGGATGGGAGGAGTGACAGCAAAACTAGACCGAGAACCGTTAAGGGGTTTCGTTGCCTGTGCTGTATTAACTCACTCACCACTCTTTGCAACATTGTGAAATGTCGTGTTCCACACTTCGCCCCATCTCGGCTCATTTAGAGGGATTTTCTCCTTCCGTCTGCTGCTTGTCTCGTGCTGAACTGTTGCTCGACCTCCGGTCAATCAAGGTTACTCAGGTGAGGTTGGTTAGCATAGAGGGGCTGTCGGCGGACGAGGTGCTTCCCCGGAGCGGCTGCAGGGCCCACCGCGGCTGTAAGGTATAACATGAGCAAGCGAGGAGAGTTGATGACCTGAGTCGAGGGCACCGCCGATTGACGGCCCTCCTGAGTCCTTGTCCCCTGTTCACCAGCATACAGACCGGGTGTTGAGGAGCCTGCGGGACGCACGACCCGCACGCGGCGGAAAGGGATTGACGCTTGGCTGACCAGACGACGAGCGAGCCATACCTGGACAAAAGCGAGGCATCATGAGCGAGGTCGATTCAAAGTTGGTGAGCCAAGTCAGTTTGAAATGGCGAGAAGAAAGGGGAGAACCAACGTTTCGTGACGCGTCCACGAACGGCGTCATTCCGAGAAGGTAAGATTGGGAAGCATTGTGTGTTAAATCCGGCAAAAAGGGAGACACAAGCGCGGAGATCCCCCTTAGAACAAAGTATCTGGAACTTTGAGGCCGAATGTGCCTGAGCGGCCAGTGTCGAGCCGTCATGAGCCAGGCCCTGCAATAACCCTGAGTCTCGGGCTGGA